CCCCGAGAGGGGCAAAATCGTTGATTTTCATTGTTTTTTTTTTTTTTAAAAAAAAAAAAACATGTTTTTTGCACTCTCGCTGTTTCGTGTTCCCGGCGCTAAAGCACCGCCCAAGAGGCCCCCCAAACCGCTCCAAGACGGCCCAAGAGGCCCCCAAGACGGCCCGAGAGAGCCCCGAGACGGCCCCAGAACCGCCGAAGACGGCGCAAGAGGGTCCCAAGAAGGCCCCAGGATGGGCCCAAGAGAGGGAACGCGAACTGAAAACTCAAGCTCTCCGCCCCGAGATGCCCCCAAGAGGCCCCAAGATGCCCCCAGGAAGCCCCCAGGAGGCCCCAAGAGGCCCCCAAGAGGCCCCAAGAGGCCCCCAAGAGGCCCCAAGCGGCCCCCAAGAAGCCCAAAAGAGGCTCCAAGAGGCCCCAAGACGGCGCCCAAAAGGCTTCAAAACTCTTTCTCAGAGGCCCCCGAAGACATGCCAAGAAGGTCCCATGACGACTTCAAGAAGCAGTCCAGGATGCTCCGAGGAGGCCCCAAGAAGCTAGCTAGAACTTGAGCGCGCGCGAAGCGCGCGCGATGGTTCTAGTATATATATATGTGTATACACGCACACGCACACACGGCCTTCTGGGAACCCGATTCATCAGGCCTCTGGCCCCCATTCCCAAATGCATGGGCTTCTCACTGCCCAGAATGCGTTCAGCGTTATGGACACGTCTTCACTTCCTGTTCAAACCATCTGTGGTCCATCACTTCCGTGGAGCAGTGAGCTCGCGAAGGTCTAGGACCTGCTAGAGCCGAGGCGCGCGCGGAGCGCGCGTCCTTCTAGTAGACATTCAGGAAGTTCCCAGGGTGTGTCTTGACATCGCCAGGAGGGTTTTGAACACCCCTGGAAAGGAAAAGCTTTCTGAAGGCAAGGCGGCCCTCTTGAGGGCTGTCTTGTGTCAGGCTTACTGGGCCACCAGTAGGGCGTCCTCTGCAGGATATGCCATAGAGGACTCCTGCCCCTTGTGTGGACGAGCAGGTGACACGCTAGTGCACAGGCTGCGCCGCTGCCAGTCGGAGGAGGCCGTGGCCCGCAGGAATGAGCTACCAGACCAGTCGCTTTTAGCTAAATGTACAGAACCTGCTGAGCATAATCTAGCTCTGCTGCTCGGTATTCCCCCACACCCTGAGGCGGATCCTGATGGATTCCCTCCTCCCGCTAGTGATTTTTCCATGGAAATAAAGCATGTAGGTTCGTCGGAACCGCTTGCATGTTGTAATCTAGGACCACGGACGGGCTCTCACGGCACTTGCACCAGGTCAGGTCTAAAATGCTTGGATCGAGCTGCCTGGGCTGTCTGTGGGTTTTCGAAGGAGGAAGAGCTGGAGGTCGTCATTTCAGGCCCTGTAGCATTCCCTCTGCCGCAGACCCCCAGGCGGCAGAACATCTTGGATTCTTTGTTTTGCGACAGATGCTTACGCAAGAGTCCACCGCCCATGTATATTGTAAATGTTAAAACAGCTCTGAAAGGTTAAAGCACATCAGGACGAAGACACAGTTCGGCCTGGAGATAGCTTGCCTTTCCAGATAAACAAGCAGTGTGACAAGTTTGTTAAGGCGGCCCTCCAAATGCATCCCTCGCTCGATCCGTCGGCTGTGTTTTTTACTTGAAGAACAAGAGGAGGACGCCGCTAGCATTCTTAAGTTTATCCCGAAGATGCTTGAGGCTTGGCCTCGGCACCCACGTACTGAACGGACACGTAAGTCAGGTGATTTCAAGACACAGCTCAAGCTAGTACATGACTGGCAGAGAGCTGAGCATGTCGAGTGGCGCTGTGCGGCTTGTTTTACGTTCAGCCACTCTGATGAAGCGGTCTCGAGGCGCCGCAACGAACCATGCACGCCATTTTCGAGCGAGTTTAGGGGGCGCCTCAGACAAGTGCACTCCTTTCACGCGCTCTCTGATGGCACCTGTGGAGACGGCCTGCTGGTCTTCTGTGCGAGGTGCGGCAATCATGCCACGTTTGTTTTCAGAGGCCTTCTGGTGGAACGCAAAGGGCCTCCAAGGAGTGGCTCGAGGTATATGGCTCTCAAGAGGCTGCTCAATGGTCTACATCATGGTGATGGCAAGCCGTTTCAGGACATTGAGCATTTCCAGGCATTCCAGAGACACCAGAAGGCAAGAGCCTCCAGCTACAGAGGCTGAAGGCCTATGGGTTCGCCGACTTCGGAGCGGCGCACCTTCTGCCCATGAGTGAAACAAATTGTAGAGGGAGGGTTGTCCCAAGGTGGGGCTGGGGAGCGGTCCCAGCTGGATGCTGCCGTTTCACGCGTTTCCTTCTTCCAGGGGCCGTTGGGGGCGATTTTCTGTCCACCCCCTTTGCCCCTACCCCACCTTTGTGCCCTCCCGATTGGGTGGGCCGCAGAGGGGCAGCTCAGAGCGCGGCAGTCGCGCGACAGGTGAGGTCAATGGCCTATCCGAGACACGATCGCACCGTTAAGAAATCACAACGAGAGGTTTTTGGCCGTTTTCGGCCTCCGTGGACCTTCTCTGGGCCCGGGGACCGTCAAGGAACGATTCAGGATGGAAAATTGGTCCCGGGGAGTGGGTCGAGACCCGTTGGGGTCGACATCGCGCAAAACATCACAACGTCGTGAGTCTGGGCATGCGACAGGTGAGGTCAACGCCCGATGCGTGTGTCCGAAAGTAGGAGGTCCTTCAGGATGGAGCGGTGCAGAGCGGTGTCGGAAGAAGGCAGGGTTTCGCACGGCGCGAGCAAAAGGTTGGCTTTGTTCCCCATATCCTAAGATGGGGTTCTTGTTATTACTTGGACGCCTCCTACTCCTCCTCCTCCTCCTTCCTCCTCCTCGTTTCTCCTCCCCTCCTGTCGGACATACTCAGACTTGCTCATACACAGACTTACTCATACTCAGACTTACTCATACCTAGACCTACTCATACTCAGACTTACTCACACTCAGACATACTCATATACAGACTTACTCATACACAGACGTACACATACACGTACCATGACGTACTCATATACAGACATACTCATACACAGTATTAGTCATACCCAAACGTACACATACACAGACTTACTCATACACAGACTTACTCATACTCAGCACCCCTAAGGGGAGCCGCCAGGGGTGGTTGCACGGGCTCGTTCGCGGCCATGTTGTGGGGATGTCTCAGGCGGTTTGCCTGTTTCTGTGCCCAACATCCTTCGCTTTCGGAGCAGATTTGGAGGATGTCTCGAGCGAGGCGCTCATTTCAGCACCCCTAAGGGGAGCCGCCAGGGGTGGTTGCACGGGCTCGTTCGCGGCCATTTTGTGGGGATGTCTCAGGCGGTTTGCCTGTTTCTGTGCCCAACATCCTTCGCTTTCGGAGCAGATTTGGAGGATGTCTCGAGCGAGGCGCTCATTTCAGCACCCCTAAGGGGAGCCGCCAGGGGTGGTTGCACGGGCTCGTTCGCGGCCATTTTGTGGGGATGTCTCAGGCGGTTTGCCTGTTTCTGTGCCCAACATCCTTCGCTTTCGGAGCAGATTTGGAGGATGTCTCGAGCGAGGCGCTCATTTCAGCACCCCTAAGGGGAGCCGCCAGGGGTGGTTGCACGGGCTCGTTCGCGGCCATTTTGTGGGGATGTCTCAGGCGGTTTGCCTGTTTCTGTGCCCAACATCCTTCGCTTTCGGAGCAGATTTGGAGGATGTCTCGAGCGAGGCGCTCATTTCAGCACCCCTAAGGGGAGCCGCCAGGGGTGGTTGCACGGGCTCGTTCGCGGCCATTTTGTGGGGATGTCTCAGGCGGTTTGCCTGTTTCTGTGCCCAACATCCTTCGCTTTCGGAGCAGATTTGGAGGATGTCTCGAGCGAGGCGCTCATTTTCACCCCCCAGGTGGGCCAGATTTTGAGGATGTCTCGATCGGTTTGCTAGTTTTGGTGGCCAGGCTCGTGGGCGCAGATTCTTCTCAGGATGCCACAGGAGGCTCCAACAGGCTCCAGGAGGCTCCAGGAGACCACATGAGGTCCCAGGAGGCATCAGGAGGCCACAGAAAGACTCAAGAGGCCACAGGATGTCCCAAGAGGCTCCAGGAGGCCCCAGGAAGCTCCAGAAGGCCTCAGGAAACCACAGGAGACCCCAGGAGACAACAGGAAGCGCCAGGAGGCCTCGGAAGGCAACAGGAGGCCCCGAGAGGCCCCAGGAGCAGGAGGCCTCAGAAGGCAACAGGAGTGGCTCCAATCCCATGTGTTTTACGTATGCTCCTATCGATTGGGCCTCACCTGGAGCACGATTCTTTGATGTTCTACGTATGTTTCTATAGATGGTCCTTCTCCTGTGTACACAATCCTAAATGTTTTACTCATGTTCCTATGTATTGGGCCTCTCCTGGGGCACGAGTCCTTGGTGTTTTACGCGTGTTCCTATAGATTGCCCTTCTCCTGTGGCTCTAATCCGCAATGTTTTATGTACGTCTGTTGCTATAGATTGCGCCTCCCCTGGGGCACGAAACCTTCCTAGGAGGTCCCAGGAGGTCCCAAGAGGCTCTTGGAGACCCCAGGAAGCCCCAGTAGGTTTCAGGAGGCCCCAGGAGGCCCCAGGCTCATGCACAGAGACGCGCTCGTACACTGAGGCTCATTCACACTCCAATTCATTCGCAGTTAGATTTATGTCCAGACCGTCACAACTGAAGCCCGTTAATATTCGAAAGCTCTTGCGCCTAGACATTCACGGCGGACAGGTCCATGCGAGTAGATGCACATATGGGGAGCTCCACGCAGTGAATAATTTTCGGCCGCCAGCCCGCGGCCGTTTTGTCTCCGTTCGTGCCTGCGACGGTTTGGGACGAAACATGTCTTGGGGGGATGGCGCCGGTTTCGTTTCCCATCATCGTTTAAAACGCAGGCGCTGTTCAACATCAGAAGACGTCTTGCTCGTGCCCTGCCGTGTCGTGTGGCAGGAAGTTGGCCGTAGCTGTTCGCTGGCCTCCAAACGGCGGCGGCCCTCGCGCACTGAGGCGATGTGCGGCTGGCGAGCGTCGCCAGGGAGCTGGGGTTTACGGGGGCCGCCGGCGAGGAGGACGAGATGCTGCGACAGGTGACTGGAGGCGCCCCGCCCCCGGCAAGGGAGGAGGAGAATGAGAGGATGCAGACGAAGAGGCTGGAGGAGGACGAGGAGGAGGAGGAGGAGTAGGAGGAGGAGGAGGCTAGAGGAGGAGGAGATGCTGAGCCAGCCGCCAGCCAGTCAGCTGGAGCCCATTCCAGGAGCGGGCGCGATGGATGGGAGGGCAGGAGGGAGGAGAGCTGGTGAAGGGCACGGGGCTCTTGCATCTTCAGGAGGGGAGGAGGGCAGAGCGGACGCGAGGAGGAGGACGTGGGGAAGTGGAGGGCGGGTTGGCGCTGCAAAGCGGGGCGGGAGGAGGGGCGGGGCCCCCCGGGCATCCGCCGAGGTGACCAAGAGGCCCCGCAGCCCTCTCCCCAGGCCCAGGGGCAGCCTGCCGTCCCGGGTCCGTCTTGGATGAACCCGAGGCCCTGGGGGCCGCAGTCGAGGGAGGCCCGCCGCAGGCCTCGAAATCCAGGCGTCGAGGCCTCTCGGGGGCCGTTGTGGGATCTCTCTGTGGGGGCCTCTTGGGGGCCTCCTGGGACCTTGGGGGGGGGGGGGGCTCTCGGGCGCCTCTTGGGGCCACTTGGGCGCCTCTCGAGCGCCTCTTGGGGTCCCGGGGGCCTCTTGGGGCGGAAGGCTCGGATTCTCGGTTCGTGCTCCCTCTCCTGGCTTGGTGCCTTCTTGAGCCGTCTTGGGCGCCTCTAGGGACTCTAGGGCCGTCTTGGCCCTCCTGGAGGAGGCATCTTGGGCCGTCTTGGGGAGGTCTTGGGGACCTCTAGGGCTGTCTTGGAGCGTCGAAAAGCCGAAAAGGCGAGTCCGCCCAAATCCTTCCGAAACATAGAGAAATCACTCCAGCGGAAGACCCCACATGAGAATATATGTAGCTTGCCCCTCGCCCTTTTCTTCTTCGACTGGCGGAGACCTTCCTTCCGCCCTCTGCGTCCTCCTCCTCCTCCTCCTCCTCCTCCTCCTCCTCCTCCTCCTTCTAATCCTCCTCCTCCTTCTTCTGCTTCTCCTCCTCCTCCTGCGTTTTTTTCTCGTGTTACTCGTTCTCCTCTTCCTCATCCGCCTCCTCCTCTTCCTTCCTCTCCTCCTCAGATTTCTCCTCCTCGTCCTTTTCCCTCTCCCCCTCCACTTCCCCACCCCGCCTGTTCTCCTCGTGCACCTCTGATTCCTCCTGGCAGGGGCGCGCGTGTCGATTTTCCTCGGCGCCCTCGCCGCCACGCCTGGCCGGGGCGCGAAGCCGTCGGGGGCAACCCAGCGGGCCAGGCCGCCTGAAATTTCTTCGCAAGTCACTCACAGACGAGGCTCCCGCCTGAGATGCCCTCCGCACTCAAGCCTGGAGAGACCATAAGTGACAACAGTTGCAGGAGTCCGATGACCCGCTCGGCTTAGTAACGTGAGCTGCGGGCCCCACAGGGAAGAGGCTCCCGCACTGAGAATTCCCCGCAACTCACTCACAGGCGAGGCTCCCGCCTGAGCCTTCCTCCACACTCACGATTGAGGAGGCCAGAAGTGACGACAGGTACAGGATTCCGATGCCCCGCCTCAATTAATAGCATGAGCTGCGGGCCCCATAGGGAAGAGGCTCCCGCCTGAGACTCTCCCGCAATTCACTCACAGACGAGCTCAAAAGTGACGACAGTTACAGGATTCCGACGACCCGCTTGGATCAAAAAGAGCTGCGGGCCCCATAGGGAGGGGGCTCCCGCTTGAGACTTCCTCGCAATTCGCTCACTGACGAGGCTCCCGCCTGAGACGTCCTCCGTACTCAAGCTTGAAGGGGCCAGAAGTGACGACAGCTACAGGATTCCGATGACCCGCTCGGCTTGGTAAGGTGAGCTGCGGGTCCTATCAGGAGGGGGGCCTTCGCCTGAGATTTCCTTGCACTTCACTCACAGACGAAGCATCAGTGAGTGATCGAGGGAGTGCTGAGGGTGTGTTCAAGTGATGATTTTGTCGTGGTGATGATGATGATAATGATGATGATGCTGCTGCTGCTGATGATGATGATGATGATGATGATGATGATGATGATGACGATGATGATGCTGATGACGATGATGATATGAGTGTGTGAGTTTGTGAATGTGTGGGTGAGAGGTTCGGGGTGTTCTTGCTCCTGCGCGGTGTGTCCAGAGACAACAAGGCACCCACTGTGGATGTGGGATAAATGATGTTTGCCTGTGGGGGTCTTCTTGGGAGGCGTCTTGGAGGCCTCTTGGGGCATCTTGGAGGCTTCTTAGGCGTCTTCGAGCCATCGTTCGGCGACTCAGGGCCCTCTTGGACCGTGTTGGGGGCTCCCTGGTCCGTCATGGAAGCCTTGTAGAGCCCAAGGGAGGCGCCTTGGGACTCCCCGGGAGCAAGGGTGGTGCAGTCACCTGGGCGTGAGGGGAGGATGAAGAGGTCGCTTAGAAGACTACACCTTAGGCGATGCTTAAGAAAACTTAAGTTTTCGGCGAGAGTCTCGATTATTCTTAATGATTCAATGTAAATCCTAAGATTTTGATAGAAGTCCTGGGTTTTTATTCAAATTCTGAGACTCTGAGTTTCTTAACCCATGATTCCTTAAGCATTCCGCAGGGTGTACAGACACAGCCACGAAGCCCGTGGCATTCTTCCACGCCGAAACATGCCGCAGGCGCGGTGGCGGATCGCCCCACAGAGACCCAAACGTTACCTCGCAGATGGCAGCTGTGCAACTGCCTTCACGTCCACGAGACGGTGGAGACTCCTGCGGAGAGACAGGCCACGCAGACCCAAAATAGACTTCGTTTCTCTGGGCACTCCCATCCCCTCAACTGGGTTGTCCGTGGGCTCATGGGAGGTCCAGCGGAGCGACGCCCCACGCAGACCTCGACTCGACCTCCCCTCTCTGGGAGGCGATCGCTGCGCAGCTATCGGCACACTTTGGGGAACCTTGCGGGGAGCTCCGGCTGAGCGCGGCCCCGCGCCGAACGGGAAGGAGGACGACGAGCAGTCCCACCACCGTGATCGGGTTGGGGGTGTGAAGCATCTTAGATGTTTGTTTGGATCTCGTGGGAAGCCTCTGAGGGGCCTCTTGGAGGCAGTTTCGAGGCCTCTTGGGGACCTTTTTGGGGCCTCTTGGGGGGGCCTCTTGGGGGTGCCTCTTGGGGGCCTCTTGGGCTCCTCTTGGGCGCCAACTTGGGCGCCTCTTGGGGTCCATGGGGCCTCCTCGGGAGGAGAACCGCGAGCAGGCTCGCGCGGCGCGCCCGCTCCGCCCACGGGCGACCCCTGGCCGCGGCCGCGCGGCGCGCCGCCGCGGCGCCCATGGCGGCGCCGCGCGACGGCAGTGGCGCCCGGGCTGCGCTGGAGGCGCGGGTGAAGTCGGACCTGTCCCTTCACAGGGGGAAGGCATGCAGAGATAGTCAAAACATGGTCAGGGCAAGATTTTGCGAGTGTTTCTGAACATTTGTTGGGCCATGTTGTTTGACGATTTTGCACTTTCGTTTGTAACCTTTTTTGTTTACTTTGGGTTATTTGGTTGTTTTGGTTGTTTTGTTGTTCAAGTCGTTTTGGACATTTTGGGGTTATTTTGTTGGACCATTTCGCCTTCCGTCCAACATCCGCCTGTAGGGGGACACGCCCGACCTGAGGCGCGGGGCGTGCCGCCCCGCTTCCACGGCGCGCTGCTGCGCCTCTGCGGCGGGGAGGAGCGGGCCCGAGAACCCGCCACAAAGAAAGATACACGGGAATATACACGTCGTTAATAGCACCGCACGCCGCAGCAGGTAAGCTGGTCTGAGCCCCCTGCATGGTGCGCCCTAGCCGGGCGAGAAAGGGATTGAAAGCCCTGCGACGGTACTTTGTTTGTGTATATCCCACCATACTTACACTCACCATGTGATGTGGTGCAGGTCAGTTTTGTTTTCCCCGTGTTGATGGATGGATGGACGAAAAACTCCCCTGGATTTATGCTGCTCCCATCGTACTTGGGACCACATCCCAGAAATCATGTCGATCACCTGTAAAAGTGTCGAAGCAGTGTCGAGCAGTGTCGGACGAGTGCCTCCCAGGGCCCGACACGTGAAAACCCTGGAGTTTCGGTACTTTCTCGGTGCTCGAGATTCTTCCTGGTGGTCAAGGCTAATGTAGGTTGGAGCATCATAACCCTGGATTGCTCCTCGGCCTCAGGGGAGGGTGCCGGTGCATAAATCACCACTGGGAGCCATTGACTTCGTACACCGTCGCCATCCTCGCCGTCCTCGCCGTCCCGCTCTGTCCGCCCCCTGCTTCGGCCCCATCGGCAGTCTCTGGCATGGTCGTTTTTGTTGTTGTCTTAATTTCGTTTCGCTATATACTTGCGATTTGCTTACGACCTGGCTACGATTTGCTTCGCGACGAGGGGTCTTTCGTCGGTTCCGGTTTCCGGAGTGCCCTCGCCGAGCGTCGGAAGGCCGTCAATTAAATTACTTGTAAGGAAAAACCGGACCCTGGGGAAATGGGTTGCTGGCGGCTGCTGGCGGCGGCGGACCAAGTCGAGTGGGAGCGCCGCGCTTCTGAGTCTGCACAGTGGGCAGCGCGCGTGTCGCATGTAATTGTTCTGTCCTGCCCCTCGCGGGCCATTCTATGTCAGGGGGGACAGATACAGCCAGACACAATTAGTCGTCGACTCCCAGGAAAATATGGGAAGTGGGGGGAAGACGAACACAAAGAAAATACGGGCAAAGATGGGATTTGTGTGTCCCTGGGCCCCTTCACTGTGGTCGGACTTTCTGCTTTCTGCTTCCTGCCGGGGGGAAATGGGCCCAGGCCTCTGGGGGTCGACGTCGGGAGAAAAAATCATGACGGCGGCGGGCTGGCTCCTGCTTGTCGAGGCCTCCGTCCCGAGTTTTTCGAGTCGGATGCGCTGCCGGCTCGCTTCGACCTCGGCTCGCCCGTTACTCGCAAGAGTGACCCTTAGTAAGAGTGACCTTTGGTGCGCGGCTTTTTGGGGGCCGCGGGGAGGCCAAACACAAGCGCGCAAGACGCCACTGCCGCCTCGCGTTCGGCGATCGGGGGACCCCATTGGGCCCGCACCAAAGGTCACTCTGGAGAAAGGTCACTCTTACGTCTAGTCGACTCGGTCTCGATCGGCTCCAGTTCCGATTCTGCTTAGGTTCAGGTTCCCATGCGGGCTGCGGTTTCTCAACGGAGAGGCCCAACCGGCGCGCCGATTCCCGCCGATCCGATGTTTCCCGGCTGGGCTGCAGGTTCCCGCCGATCCGTCTCATCCCGATCGCCGGTCCGACTTCTCGGTGCGGCGCTGCGCTCTCCTGGGGAGGAGGCCTTCCTGGCCGACATCGAGCCCGGGGACCTCCGCGGGGAGGCGGACGAGGACGGCGAGCCCATCCCGGGCCCCGCGGCCCGGGGCATCGTGCGCAGGCCGCGGGGCCCCGAGACCTCCGACGGTGTGGCTGCTGCCGTCCGGGCGGGGCCGCCCCCATTCCCCCCCCGCGGGTTCGACCGCCGGGGCCTGCTGCCGGGCCCCATGGAGCAGCAGAGATCGGGGGGCGAAGAGCTGGCCCGCGGGGCAGGGGTCGGGAGCTCCGGGCATGCCGGATGTGACAAATCAGGACGTCGGCCGTCCGGGAAGGGAGGGCCGCCGGTTGCTCCTGGAGGTCGAGGCTCTCCAGGGTCGAGCCTCGAGGAGGTTCTCGGCCGCGTGGGGCCGTATGGGGGGCCAGGATGGGGCGCCCCGTCCCTCGAGGACACGGCGCTTCCTCGAGGAAGCGGGGACCCCATTGGTGTTAAGCCGAGCATGTCCTTCTACAGGAGTAATATTCAGAAATAGCCCAAAACATAGTATTGGGACAATTCGCCGATTATTGTTTGATTTGTTTTGATTGTGTTTGACCTTTGTTTATTTTTCCTCCAGAATTCGACTGGAGGGCATGTCCGACCTCACTCTGGTGGTAATCCCCTTCTTTTTTGGCATGGCCCTAGCAGGCTGCGCGACCTGCCGCCCCCCGGTGAGCCGGCCCCCTCGTCGATCTCCTCGGAGGACTTCGTGATCGTTGGGGCGGAGGCGGAGGCTCCGAGGAAGAGAACACTGTCAGCCAGCCCGCTTCATGACGATGGGCAGCCTTCCCAAGAGGGTACCCTGGCATCCTCGCCCCTTCGGCCCCTCCTTGGCCACTTTCGCTGGCCCACCTCGCTCGAAAAAACGTCAGCATGGCCTTCCAGGGCCCTTGCATCCTCATCGCGCATCCTTTTTGTTATTGAATCGCTTCGCTCATTCCGCCGGCCCATAGTGTAGCGTCGCTGGCACTTGCTTGCGTGCTCGGGGGGGCATTTGGGTGGCCTCCTGGGGCCGCTTGGGGGCCTCTTGGGGGCCTCCTGAGGGCCTGTTGGGGGCCTCTTGGGGCCTCTTAGGGGCCTCTTGGGGCCTCCTGGGGACTTCTGAGGGCCGAGGGCTCGAAATATTGTTTCGTGTTCCCCCCCTGGGGTCCCTCTTGGGGCGTCTTGCGTCCTCATCGCGCATCCTTTTTGTGATTATTCGGGTTGACCGTAGGCACGCCGAAGCAGGAGTCGGCCTGCCAGCAGGTGCCCCGCCGAAGTCCCCTGTCCCCCGAGGGCCCCAGGGACCCAGAGAGGCTCGCTCCCCGACGTCGTGACTGCTTCACAGCTCAGGAGGGGAAAAACACACACAGACACAAGGAATCGCCGACTCCCAGGAAAATATGGGAAAATATGGGAAGGGGGGGAAACACAGAAACCAGGAAAATATGGGAAAATATGGGAAGTGGGGGAGACACAGAAACCAAGAACATATGGGAAAATATGGGGACTGCTTTTATGTGTGTGTATTTGTTTGTGTGTCCCGATTCGCCCCCCTCTCTGTCAATTAAAGCTGTGCGCGTCCCGCGGAGCTTTTAGCGGACGAGGCTCGCTCTCGCCCTGAAGATCAACAAAAAATGAATGGGAAGTGGGGGGGAAGTGGGGGGGAATATATGGGAAAATATAGGAAAATATGGGAAGTGGGGGGGAAGACAGAAACCCAGAAATTATGAGGAAATATGAGGAATATTTTCATTTGTGTGTATTTATTTGTGTGTCCCAGGGCCCCTTCAACAACGTCGGCCCCCAGAGGTCTGGACCCCTTCCCCGGGACCAGCTCCTTCATCCCGAGTTTCTTTGTTGACGGCCCCAGGGTCCGGGAAGGGCCCCCGGAGGCCGCAAGTAGCGAGAAGCCTCCCGTCGTGATTTCTGCACAGCCGCATCGCCGATGCATCGGCGATGCATCGGCGATGCATCGGCGATGCGGCTCGATTTGGGGCCCAATTGTATCCACGCCGACGTCGCCGATGCATCGCCGACGTCGCCAGTGCATCGCCGATGCATCGCCGATGCATGGGCGATGCATCGCCGATGTATCGGCGATGCGGCGAGATCCTTCGACCCCATCTACTCCGACCCCATCTAGGAGGCCTCTAGTCTGGGACGAGCAGCGCGCCCCAAGGATTCTTCTTGCAGGATGTCTTACATCGCGGGTGCCTGCTGTGCCGGCACCGCTGCCCGTCCCTTGGTGTCACCGCGGTCAGATTCGCCTCGAGATCCTGGTCTTAAGTCGGGCATGTCCTGGAATCGTCAGGAAAACTTAGTCTTGGGACGATGTTTCGATTATGTTTGCTTAATCAATGTTTGAATATTGTCCGACTATTTGTTTAGCTGTCTTCCAAAATCCGCCTGTAGGAGGACATGTCCGATCTCATCCTGGCTGGAGTAGAACCGCACCAGAATACTCTTGGGAGCGCGCTGTTGAGGCCAGACCGGACTATTCGAGGGGCTTGCCGATGCCAGCTATCACTACCAGGGGGGGCTGCCTTCTCCTCTGCCTCCTCCTCGCCTGCGCCTGCGTTCAACCCGAAGCCTTACCAAGCAGCGGTGTCGGTCTCTCCTGGATCCCCTCAGAAGGCCGCGCCTTCTGAGCCGGGGCCTGCCACGGCCAGAGGCGCCCCGTCGGACGCGTACGCGGCCGCCCCGCAGGGGTCACCGGAGGTGGAGCCGGGCCTGCTGCAGCACCAGCTGCGGGACCCCGACGTGGTGGTGTCCGGCGGCGTGGACTACCTCGTCAGGACCGCGCAGGGCCTCGATGTGCACACCACGCTGGGTAAGGCTTCGGGCGGCGGACGGGCAGCGTCCCCAGGAAGCCCCAGCTGGCCTCCACGGGTTCCAGACCGGAGTCACCCTGGCGCCCCACGGTCCCGCGGCCTCCCCGACGAGACCGCCCCAGCGCAACCCGAAGCCTGAATTACCCGATATGCACACCGCGTCGTTTGGCTGGCCAAGGGGCCAAGGAACTCGGCGAAAGGACTCGGTGTACAGGCTTAGGCGCTCTGGCCTCCCACTTTGAGGGGGAGCCGAGGCGTCTCATATGCTGAGCTCCTTGGCGACCAGACGACCTGGTGTGTAGGTCAAGAACCTCCCAGGACCTGGGACCCCTCCACGTTCGAGCCGCTGCAGGTGTTCGAGGGCCACCTCGGTCCCGTCAGCGCTGTCGAGCCCTGCCGCGGTGGCCGTTTGGCCTCCTGCTCCGAAGACGGCGCTCGAAGAAGAGCAAGCGGCATTCACCATACCCATCGGTCGTTGAAAGTAGGTATTTCTGGATTCCCAGATTACAGTCTACTTTCAGCGCCTTCCTACTTCAAGAGTCGAGTGGCTTTCCCTCTGCCTTCCTCTTCAGGAGGCGTGCGGAAACCCAATCTATTTCCAACGCCTTCCTACTTCATGTTTCTACCTGCTTCCTCCGACCGATGGGTATGCTCGTGGAGGTCCGCGCGGAGCGCCCCCAGACAAGCAGGCGTCGCAAACATGTTTTTGTTGATATATATAGGATTCGGCCTCTGGGGGCCCTCGTCGGGCCCCAGAGCAGTCAAGCAGTTATTCGGGATGAACAACTCGGCGTGTTCCAAGAGGGGGTCCAGGGAACAAGATGGTGGTGCAACAGATTAGGTGCAACTGATGTGTGGATTGGCAGTACATCTTGGGCGTGCAATGCATTCCGACACGAATGTATTGCTGGAATCCCGTGTGCAATACATCAGTTGCAATGCAATGCAATACGATTCTCTGGCGCAGCATGTACATCTGCATCACAGTCGCCCCAAACCTGTTGCACCAACCCCTTTTAGCTGGACCCCACTTTGGGTCAACAACAAAAACTGCCTTGGGGAATCGGTGGGAATTTTACGGGACCCCGTGCTGAACAAAGTCTCGACATCGCATGTCTGGGCCCAGATCGGCGCCCCCCCCCCCTTGGTGGCGCCAAACGCCGCCGCTCCTTGCGCGCTTTCCGCGCGTCAGGGGGGGGGGGGGCAGCGCCGATTCAGGCACTCCGCGCAGACCTCCGACAGTATATTGTCGGGAACTTTTGGTTAGGGTGTTGCGCCGCCGGTTGTGGGCCACCTTGCTTCGGCGCGACACGCTGACCATGTCCCAGTTCCCGAGCGTCAACGTCCCGAGCTTTTCTCAGTCTTCCGTTCCTCGGAGCGGATAGACACGCCATCCGCTTGCAGGACATGGCGTGTCGCCGGGTCCGCCTCCGCGACCCACAGTTTCTGGCCGTATGTGTAGGTAGGTTTTTCCTGTTCCAGGCACGCTGCGCGTCTGGAGGCTCGGCGCTGCCGGTGAGCCAGGGGCCCTTGAGCGGACCGTGTGGGTGATCGGCGGATCAAAGATGGGCCCTGAGGGATATGATGGCCCTAAGGTCAAGTTGCCTCAAACGCTGACTCACGAAGGCGAAGCAAAGTCAGCATTGCTGGCCCCAGGCATGTGTTGTCATCTCACGCTCTGTTTTGCTTCCCACTTCCCTGTGCTTCTGTAGCAGTGGTTGGATCAGGGGTGCCGCTTGCCCCGCCCTGCCTCACCACTTCTCTGTCTGCCCCCGCTGAGGCGACGGTGGCAGTCCTCTTAAGTCGGGCATGTCACTCGACAGGAGGAATATTCAAGAGTAGTCGAACAGTAGTCGGGCGACGCTTGTTCCTGCTCGTTTTACTATCTCGTTTTTTGTCATTCTTATGTTCCACTCTTCTGCCAAAATCCGCCTTGAGGAGGACATGCCCGACCTAGAGTCCACTTGCCGGGGTGCCGCTTGCACCTCGCTTTCGTCACCCTTGCCTGGCGCAGTGCAGAATAATGGGAGGAGGGCCAGAGAACAGTGAAGGTTCAGCTTGAGAGCCCCATCCTCAGGGCATCATCCCTGAGCCAAGGGGGGAAAGACTACCCAGACCCCGACGATTGGCGTTTACTGAACGGCCGTGGGCGTTTACGAAACAGCCCTGCCCTCTCCGTTTCCTTCCCTCAGTGCGTTCACTAAACAGCTTCGCGTGTCGGGGTGCTTCTCATGGGGGTGGATCTTCTGCCCTCAACCGAGGGGCCCCGTTCCTCGTGGCCCCATCCCTCGGGGCCCCCAGCATGTATCTGCTTACGGGCCCCTTTTGGCAAGCTGACCACCTCCAAGAGGTATGCCGTGACAGACGCACCTGGCTTTCTTGCAAAGTGTTCGTCGTACAGCGGGTCTTTGGCGCAGGTCATTGAAAGCATCCTCAGGGCCCCATCTCTGCTTGGCGGCAATCGAGAAGGGGGGGGGAAGGAGAAGGAGAAGGCCTTCTCAGAAAGCTCGGAAGTCCCCAGGCCTCCTGAGAAGTTGTCTGAGCGTTCCCCGAAGGCAGGAACAACTTCTCAGGATGCGCGAGGGTTTCTGAGAAGTTCCGCCGCCTTCTGAGAAGGCCTTCTCCTTCTCACTTCCCCCCCCGCCGCGCGCCGCCGGTCTGCGCCCCCAAGGTGAGCTGCCTTGCCGTCAGGAGCCTGTGCACCCTGCCCGGACACCGCGCGGCCTGTGGCGCGGCGGACTTCTCCCTGCTGGTGGTGAGCCTCGCCAGCGGGGAGGTGCTCCACAGGGTTGACGGCAGGCCTCCGGGAGGGAGAGAAGCGAGCAGTGGGCAGCCAACCCCGGCGCCCACAGCAATGGATGCACATGTCAGCATTCTGTAGCTCTGGCGAAACTGTGCGTAGGCGCAGGCGCCTTGTAAGCGAGGGCCTTTGCCAGCTGCCGCAGGGGGGGGGGACGCGCGCACGGTCCATTTGGTCCGAAGTTCCTCGTGCAGGGGGGGCGAGGGGGGGGGCGGGGGGCGGAACGAAGTTGCCCCGGCGTGCGGTCGGGAACTCCTCGGAGGTGCGGGGATACGCGGTGGAGCAGGGAGATCAGGGGCAGCGATAGGGGGGACAGGCGTAAGGGAGGAGCGAGGAGGAGGAGAAGGAGGAGGAGGAGGAGGAGGAGGAGGAGGAGGAGGAGGAGGAGGAGGAGGAGGAGCGAGGGGGGGACAGGCGCAAGGGGGGGGGGGGCATCGACCTCCTCTCGCCCAGGGATCGTCGAGATCGGGGCCCCACGGCCCCACCCCGCCCAGGGACGTGCGGACTCGCCACCTGGGGCCTGTCGCCGCTCCATCGGCGATGTGTTGCCGATTCCAGGTCGATGTCCCCCCCCCCTGTGCCAGGGAGGGGGAGGAGCGAGGAGGAGGAGAAGGAGGAGGAGGAGGAGGAGAGGAGGAGGAAGAGGAGGAGGAGGAGGAGGAGGAGGAGGAGGAGGAGGAGGAAGAGGAGGAGATCTGTCGAGACTGGGAGCCTCTTGGCAACTGACTGGGGCCTCCAAGGCACACGTTGGAGGACTCTCTGGGGACTGAGTGCGTTTTTCGGGCCGGACGAAAGGGGGGGATTGGGAAAGGGGGGGTTACGAAATTTGCAGCACGCAGCTGGTTTCGACCTCGCCGAGGGGCCCATTCCTCGATACATGGGCGCCTCCGGCGCCTGGAGGCGCCGGGAAAATCAGCTACGTGATCTGATTCTCAAACCCCCCCTTTGCTATCCCCCCCTTTTGCCCGGCCCGATTTGCCTCTGGGCGATCCTCCGCGAGGGCCTTTTTTTTCCGCAGGCCACGGGGCAGGTGGTGGAACCCTCTCCTGCGCCGTCCCTCGGGGGCGGAAAAGAGGGGGGTGATGACTAGGGAGGGGTGGATATCATGGCGTGGGCCATGATATTTCCCCAGATTTCATGGCGCCTCTTCTTATTTCATTACGTCCCTGGCCCCCCCGCTGGGCCGCGCACATGCCGCCGGTCATGATTTGCACCCCCCCCCCTCTTGGACACCCCCCTCTCGGCCGCTCCCGAATCTCTGGCGCCCTCGGCTTTCAGGGTTCATCGCCGAGACTTCCAGGGACCGGCGAGCCATCTCGAGAGCCTCTACAGGGCCAGGAACGGTGGCTCAGCGCGTCGCGCCGCCACATCCGGCCCACTGCGTCTCGGCGCGACCCGCGCACCACGTCCACGCCCCGAGGCGCCGACACCGGTGGCCACATGCGAACCCCACCCCCGCCCCCAAAGATTCCGAGGGGGGGTGGGGCTGCACTTCGCGCGGGAGCTCCCGAGCGGAGTGGCCCCTCCCCCCCCCCCCACCCCCCCTTCGAAATCGCGGGGCGTGGTGGCAGGGCTCACGTGTGGCCACCCAGTCGACGTCCGGCCTTCCCGCGCCCCCCGCCCCGCGGAGCGGAGCGACGCGCGACGCGTCGCGCTGGCCGCCTGCAAGGCACAGCGCGCTGCCGGGGGGCCGCCGCCTCGGCCCCCCCCCCGCCGCAGGGCCTCCGCGGGGGCCCCCCCGCGCGGGCTCCTCGGGCCGGCGCCGTGGGCCCTCCCCGAGGCAGCGCCTCCAGCGCCTGCCGCCGCCCGATGGGCGCGCCCCGCGTGCTGGGGGCGGTGGGGCGGCGGGGGCATGAGGAGGAGGAGGAGGAGGAGGAGGAGGAGGACGAGGAGGAGGAGGAGGAGGAAGAGGAAGAGAAGGCGGAGGAGGAGGAGGAGGAGGAGGAGGAGGAGGAAGGAGGAGGAGGAGGAGGAGGAGGAGAATGAAGATCGGCACGAACGAAATGGGTATGGAAAGAATGGGTACGATGCCCAACAGCACTTCCTGTCCATTTTGGACAGGACTCGCTGTCCGCGCCGCCGCGGCCCGTGCCCATTGGAGACTGCAGGCCGCCTGCCCAACAGCGGCGGTTGGTGGTTTGGGGCAACATTTGTTGTTGGGCATTGTACCCATTCTTTCCGTACCCACTTCGGGCGTCCAAAGAAGAGGAGGAGGAGGAGAAGGAGGAGGAGGAGGAGGAGGAGGAGGACGACGGCGACGAAAGCCCGCCATACTCGCCCAGTCTGGCGACGGGGGGGAAGGGGGAGCGCACGCTCCGAGGAACATCCCCGCGGAGGTCGCCCGGAAGAAGTGCGTGCTGACGCATGGCTCCCCTGGCAGTGCTTGCACCTGGGGGGGTGCTGACTTCTCTTCTGACGGTGCGGCCGGCTTGTGGCCGCCCGTCGCCGCCGTGGCCGCTTGGCACCGGTGGCGGTCCGGTCGGCTCGTCGTCGCCGCCCGTCGCTGCCGCCCGTCGCCGCCGCCCGTGCCTTGCGATCGCAATCGCATCGCACTGCAATGGCATTGCACTGCTGCGCGTTGGCTTACATTGGTGTTGCATCGCTGGATCCTGCTTCGCATCGCAGTACGCTGTTTTGCGTTGATTTGCGTTGCTTTGCTGTGCTTTGCATTGTCCTGTGCTGCGTGGCATTGCACTGCTTTGGATGCACTGCCATTGCTTTGTATTGCTTTGGTGTGCTTGGCAATGCCTTGGATGGCGTTGCACTGCTTCGCATTGTTTCGCATTGCTTTGCATCGATTCGCATTAGTGTGCATTGCGTTACATTGCTTTGCATCGTTTTGCATCGCTTTCCACCGCATAGGTTGCACCACATTGATTGCACCACCTAAGTTGCACCACCTTTTGGCTTCTGGCAATACTGATACGTATGCAGTGCTCAGCTGACGCAGTTTAAGGATCACGCAGCTTATGTCTATGCGTATGCTCATGCCTCCATCCTAGGCTCGGCGATGGCCCAGAAGCCGAGCTGCTGCAGCGGGAGGGCGGCGGCCAGGTCTGGAGCCTCGGCGGAGGAGGTGGAGATGGAGGAGGAGGAGGAAGGGGAGGAGGAGGAGGAGGAGGACGACGAGGAAGAGGAGGTGGAGTGGGAGGAGGAGGAGGAGGAGGTGGAGGAGGAGAAGGAGGAGGGAGGTGGAGGTGAGCAACGCACAAAAACGGGTCGTCTGCGCCGACACTGGCGCGTGAGCTGCCCGCGTGAGGTCGCGCGCAGGCACCCTCGCTTCCAGTGCGGCGTGCGGCGCTGGCAACCCGCCCAAGACACCGCGTGAGGTCGCTGCGCCATCCCGCGTAGGAACCGTTTCTTTTCGTCGCTCAGATCTGGAGCCTTCTCCACGCTGGCCAACATGTTGTGTGGCTTCTGGTGATGTGGATGAACTCTGCTTGCGCAGCTCTCTCTGGGCATGCAGCTTCTGCCTATGCTCATGCTCATGCCTCCATTCCAGGCTCGGCGGCGGCCCAGAAGCCGAGCTGCTGCAGCGGGAGGGCTACGGCCAGGTCTGGAGCCTCGGCGGAGGAGGTGGAGATGGAGGAGGAGGAGGAAGGGGAGGAGGAGGAGGAGGACGACGATGAGGAAGAGGAGGTGGAGTGGGAGGAGGAGGAGGAGGAGGAGGTGGAGGAGGAGAAGGAGGAAGAGGAGGAAGAGAGGAAGAGGAGGGAAGGAGGGAGGAGGAGGAGGAGGAGGAGGAGGAGGAGGAACGAGGATGAGCGAGGGGAGGAGGAGGAGGAGGAGGAGGAGGAGGAGGAGGAGGAGGAGAAGGAGGAGGAACGAGGAACGAGGATGAGCGAGGAGGACGAGGAGTAACGAGGATCAGCGAGGAGGAGGAGGATAGGAGGAGGAGGAGCAAGGGGAGGAGGAGGAGGAGGAGGAGGAGGAGGAGGAGGAGGAGGAAGAGGAGGAGGAGGAGGAGGAGGAGGAGGAGGAGCGAGTTGGAGACCTCCTCCAGGTCTGGAGCCTCCTCCACCTGCGCCTCGGCGTCCTCGCGGCGGCCTCCGACGACGGCGCCCTGCGACTCTGGGACGCCGACGCCCTGCGCTGCCTCGGCGCCTGGCGCGGGGGCGGCGCACCCGGCGAGGGCCGCGGGGGAGGCGACGCGCGGCTCGCCGAGGCGTTCGCGCCGGTGCCGGAGGGACCAAAGTCGAGGAAGGGCAAACGCCAGAAAACGTAAACTGCTGGCGCTCCGCGCGGAGTTCTTGGATCCGCACTGGCCCCCCCTAGCAGCGCCTCCGGCGCCGCCCCTGGCGCGCTCCGCGCGCCAGGGAGGGGGGGGTCCAGCGCAGATCCAAGAAACATGCGTGGAGCGCCAAAAGTTGATGTTTGGTGGCGTGTTTTTTCCTTCTACCCCAAAAAAATGACGGCTCAAAGGAGGACAGGGTACCCATACCGCTATACCGTTTGTTTGCGCAGTTTTTGGGCCTCCAGGGAGCCCCTCGTCGCCTCCGCTGGATTAGCTTCGAAAAGCTGGTCAGGACGCACCCTGGGAAATGTCCGGGGAGTAGCGGTGTCGGTACTTTGGTTTCCCCAACGGCAGAGGCATGTGTCGTCGCGCCGTTTTTTCCGACGCGCGGCCTCACGTCTTGGGGAGGGCGCCTCGGCCACCAGGGCAAGCGCCGCCTCGGGCGCGGTGGGCTTGCCGTGGGGTTTGGCGCGGTGCTGGCTGCCTTTACCTGGGGCCCGGGGCGCAGGGCTTGCCGTAGGTTTGCCGTGGTGTCGGCGTCGTCCACTCGGGCGCGTCTCGAGAACAATCGGCGCAGCGACATGTCAAGAGCGGCGACATATCCGCTTCCGCGCCCTTGCGGTCTGGATTCTGGGGCGCGATCCCGCGGATACGCGGTCGCACGGATACGTTCCGCGTGGGACATCCGCGACAACAGCGCGCCGGAGTCGAGGCGTCGCGGCCCAGGAGCCTGGCCCGCGAGGCCGCAGGGCTCCGGTCGATGCCTCCGAGTCGATTCGCTCTCGATGGCTCCCGAGTCCGATTCGATTCGGCTTCGGCTCCCGAGTTGGATTTCGAATTCTCACCGGAAGCCTACTAGCCTGCCGACTCGGCGAAACTCGGAGGAAAAAACACCATCAACATAAGCTTTTGGCGCTCCGCGCGGGTTTCTTGGATCCGTGCTGGGGCACCCTGGCGGCGCCTCCGGCGCCGCCCCTGCGCGCCAGGGAGGGGGGTCCAGCGCAGATCCAAGAAATCCGCGCGGAGCGCCAAAAGTTAATGTTTACTCCCCATATCCTAAGATGGGGTTCTTGTTATTACTCGGACGCCGCCGACTCCAGAGAGAACATACTTACTCATGCACATTACTCATACTCAGACCTACTCATACTCATACCTTCTCATGGTCTGACTTACTCAACACACACCATGCAGGCCTACTCATACTCAGACTTACTCAGGCTGGGACTCCTTCATACCCAGACTCACTCATACCCAGACTCGTTCCCAGACCTGCTCACACACAGACTTACTCATAATCATATCTACACATACTCAGACCTTCTCATAGTCTGAGTTACTCAACGCACGGACTGAGACCTACTCATACTCAGACCTAGTCATACTCAGACTCGCAAGGGGAGCCGCCAGGAGTGTTTGCACGGGCCCTTTCGCTGCCAGCTTGTGGGGATGTCTCAGGCGGTTTGCTTGTTTTCATGCCCAACATCCTTGGCTTTCAGAGCAGATTTGGGGGATGTCTCAGGCGGGGCGCTGGTTTCAGCACCCCTAAAAGGAGCCGACAGGGAGTAGGACACGGGCCCGTTCGCGGCCAGTTTGTGGGGATGTCTCAGGTGGTTTGCTTGTTTTCATGCCCAACATCCTTGGCTTTCAGAGCAGATTTTGAAGCTGTCTCAGGCGGGGCGCTGGTTTCAGCACCCCTAAAAGGAGCCGCCAGGAGTGTTTTCACGGGCCCGTTCGCGGCCAGTTTGTGGGGATGTCTCAGGCGGTTTGCTTGTTTTCATGCCCAACATCCTTGGCTTTCAGAGCAGATGTTGAGGATGTCTCAGGCGGGGCGCTGGTTTCAGCATCCCTAAGGAGAGCCGTCAGGGGGTAGGACACGGCCCATGTGGACGCGCTATTATAGTCAAGCGCTCATGAACAGACGCTCATTAGGGCATGACATGACTAGGGGAGCTCGACGCAGTGAGTAATTGTATTTATTCTCTTCTGTTAGAAATGTAAGACTCGGGTTTGCCGGAACTCGGGTTTGTCGACGCTTTTGGACGTCTGGGACGGCATAATCGACTACTGGTAAGAGTGACCTTCGCGGGATTGACTTCGTCAAAATTTTCGGTGCGGGCCCACTGCGGTCCCCCGGTCGCCGAACGCGGTGCGGTTATCAGCGTCTCGCGCGCGTATGCTTGGTCCCACCTCACTCACACTCACAAGCCATACTCCGTCCGGCGCGTGGGCAGGAACACAGTCTCAAGCAGGGATACGAAATGCAGGGTGGAACGCTGCGCCGGCTAAGTGGATCATGAGGATGAGTGGGAAGAGGAGGATGGGGAGCAGGAGCAGGAGGAGCAGGAGGATGAGGATGAGGAGGAGGAGGAGGAGGAGGAGGAGGAGGAGGAGGAGCAGGAGGAGGAGGAGGAGGAGCAGGAGGAGGGGGAGGAGGAGGAGGAGGAGGAGGAGGAGGAGGAGGAGGAGGAGGAGGAGCAGGAGGAGGAGGGGGAGGAGGAGCCGCGCAGCAGAGGTCACTCCTGCCCAGGGTCACTCCTGGCGCGTCGTCGAGCGAAGAAGCCTCGCCGGTCGGAGCTCCGCGCGGCCTCCCCGGGCCAGCGCCGGGGGCCGCCCCTCCTCGGCGGGCGGAGCGCGCGCGGGGGCTGCGCCAGGAGGCGCGCCGCCAGGAGCTCCTCGCGGGGCTCGGGAAGTCAATGGCTTCTCGGAGGGCACCCCTTATACACCAGGGCCTCCGACTCTCCAAGATGGCCTCCAAGATGGCTCAAGATAGCCGAAGATGGCTCAGAATGCTTCCAACATGCCTCCAAAAGGCCCCAGGAGGGCCACACGACAGTTTCAAGTGCTCTCGGAGCCCCCCAGGACCCCCCCAAGATAGGAAGGCACCAACTATACACCAACACCGATCCTGGCCCAGGATCACCCTGGGCCCAGGATCGGTGTTATACGCCCTCCTGCCTGGCGCAAGAAGGCACGTACACCGATCCTGGGCCCGGGGTGATCCTGGGCCAGGATCGGTGTTGGTGTATGGTTGGTGCCCTCCGAGGCTTTGCATTGTTTGAACCGGGCGTGCCCCTCTACAGGAGGAGTATTCAGAAAAATAGCTGAGGAATAGTCCGGGGACGACTGTTGGACTGCATGCGGTGATTTGTGTGTATGTCGTTCGTCTGACTCAAGTGCCGTTCTTCTTCCCACATCGGCCTGTCAGAGGAAACAAGCCCGACCTACTGCATTGCTTGCTCCCTCGAGGTGTGGAAGCTGATCCACCTGGGCGGGGGCCGCATCGCCTCGTCGGCCTACGACGGCACCATCGCCGTCTGGGACGTGTCGGACCCGGGGAGCGCCCGCCGCGTGCGCACGCTGCGCGGGCACACGAGCTCCGTGACGAGCCTCTGCCTGCTGGCCGAGGATGTCGGAGGAGGGCCGGCGGAGGCAGCGGCGGCTCGCCTCGGGAGCCTTGGGGCGGGGGCCACTGCAAGCTCCGAGCGTGCATTACCTGCCCCGCTTTCGCTTCCAGGCAAAGCCAAGTCATACCACGCGCCTCCGCGTCAAGCGGCCTGGCCAGTGCAGGCCGTAGTTTGGCATCGCTTGGTATCTCTTGGAAGCGAGGTTGGTCAAAAGCGAGGTACAGGTTTATTTGCCCCCTACAAGCGGGGGTCAGCCAGAGCGCCCGATCTTGCGGGATCCTGCAGGGACAGGGTCGCACTGACCGGGCTTGGGTGCCGGATCTTGCAGGATCCTTCGCGTTGACCCGGGTCGGAAGATCCCCGATCACCCGTCCTACTGGACTCCGCTCAAGATCGGTGCCTGGACCCGTAGTGGTTCTTGGAAGCAGCAGGGGCCGTTTCTTTTCGGCCACGCGCAGAGGGGGACATGGGGGAGGGGGGGAGGCTTCGTAGAAGCACCCCTGCTTCTTAGAAGGGGGGCACTTCTGCTTAGAAGGCGTGGGCCTTGTCTGTAGATGTAAGGCCCGCGCCTTCCGAGAAACAGCCCCCTTCTAAGAAGCCTTCCCCCCTCCCCCTACCCCCTTGTGCGCGCCGCCAATCTGCACGGCTCCCAAAAATCTGGATCTTGAGCACGAAGCGGTGAAACAAGGGTTGGCCGAAACGGACAGAAATCCCAGATTGAAGCTGGAGCCGGAGACGGGCGCCACACGACAATGGCGACGCGACCGGGAAAGCAGAACGGCGGAGCGGAGCTGGGGAGCGGGGCGGCAGAACGAAAGCGGACAGACGCCTGCCGTGTCGTCTCCCCGAGCTGCTGCTGAGCCCGGGCCCCTCCCGGGGTCCTTCTCTGGCCCGCCTTTCGAGGCGGACCCCGCCGTGGCGACGAGAGGCCGCCAGGGCTAGGTCGGGCACGCCCTCCGACAGGCGGACTCTGGAAGCAGAATCAAAAAGGTTCAACACAGATTCACAAATACTCCAAAGTTGGCGCACCACCGTCCCCACAATGTGTGGTTGGCTCTTCTTGAGCACTCCCCCTCTGGCGGGACATGCCCGACTTGACGCCGGGGGTGCCACATGAGGCAGGGCGAAGAGGCGGCGCGAGGGAGAGGGCCGCCGCCGGCTCGGCGGGGCCCCCCCTCCGATGCGTGTGGTGGCGTCCTGCGGCGGCGACTCGAGCTGCAGGAGCCGGGGCCTCGGAGGGGTCCGGGCCTCCAAGGGTTGGTTCCGGGCAGGCGGGGGGGGGGGACGGAGGAGCGCGCCGCATCGCCGAGATGCATCGCCGATGCGGCTCGGATGCGGAGCCCGCTTTTGCTTCCTGTCGACGTCGCCGATGCATCGCCCACGTCGACGAGGCATCGCTGGTGCATCGCCGATGCATCGCCGATGCGTCGGAGATGCGGCGCCGTCCTCCGACCCCATCTGCCCCGACCCCATCTGGGAGGCCTCCCAGGATCTGGGACCTGGAGAGGGGCGAGTGCGTCTGCACGATCGCCACGCGAGGGCACCCGGCCTGCGCGGTGCGCCTGGATGCCTCCAGGATGGCCATCGGGGGCGGCGACGCCACGATCAGGGTCTACGACTGGAGGCAGCAGGCGGACCTTCTCGGCGAGCACGGCTTCTACGCGCACGACCTCTCGCTCACGTGCATGCGGAGAAGAGAAAAAAACATAGGATTCAGGCAAACGTTCGAAGGTCCGCGCGGATTTCTCGGGTCGGCGCCGCATCCCCCCTGGCGACGCCTCTGGCGCCGCCCCTGGCGCGCTCCGCGCGCCAGGGAGGGGGGGCTCCAACGCCGATCGAAGAAATCCGCGCGGACCTTTGAGAGTTTACGGCCATCCCGTTTTTTCCTCTCCCGCGCCATGGCGCGCGTGGGCGCCGGGGACGTCGGCCAGGGCCCGCTGCTGCCGCCCATCACGCGGCGGTCCGTGCCGCCGGAGGAGAGCGCCCGGGGGCAGGAGTGGGTGCGCCACTGGCGCGGGCTGATGCTCCGCTGCGCCGCGGGCCTGTGAAATGGGTCCCTCCCCGCCTCTTTCCGCCACGAGAGGGGATCGAAGCGCGGGCGCCACTCCGCCGACCTTCGCCGGAGGAGGAGGAGGAGGAGGAGGAGGAGGAGGAGGAGAAGGAGGAGGAGGCGGAGGAGGAGGAGAGATCCGCGGTGCTCGCCAGCGTCATGCGAGGGCTGCGGAGGCCGCGCTCGGCGCGACCCCAGGGGGCCGCGCGGCGGCGCGGTGGGTGGCTGGTCGCCTTTGGTCGGGGTGTCGTGGGGGGGGGGGGGGGGGCGTGGTGAGCATGAACAGCGCAGGGAAAAGGCACGGGCCGACGTCTTTCCACAGATCATTTCTGTGGGCGTAACCCCAGGAAGCAAGAACCCCCCCCCCCCCTTCCGGCAAATCGATAACCCTTCCGCACCTTGGAAGCGTTAATTACCTGGCACCAGGAGCCCTCCTCCTCCTCCTCCTCGTCCTCCTCCTCCTCCGCCTCCTCCTCCACCCACGAATTTCGAATTTCGATTGTAGCCCAGGGAGTGTCCTGCTCTCGCCTCATCCTGCTGAACTCGATCTTCACCATGTTGTTCCAGCCCTCCCCGTCGCACCACCAGACCCGCAGCGTGTGATCTCGCAGCTCACATCCTCCAGCAGATCCACGGCTGGAGCACAGGTGGCTTTCAAGATCGGGCTCTCGCCGCGGAGCCTCGCGCGCTCGTGTGGAAACCAGCCGGGGTCGTTTCATCGGAAAGGGATCGTGCTCTTATTGATTGTGTTGCCCTCGCACCCCCCACCCCCTCCCTCCCCCATGGAGTAGATCTTGGCCGTTGTTGGCGTCTGTTTCGAGCATGTGGAGTTGCCCCCGTAGGACGCACTTCTGCAAACAGTCGCGCTGAGCAGAGGTCTGGAGCCAGACTCCACCCCTTCCCCCCCCCTCCGCCCAATGCCGAAACGCCAAATAAGAAAACGCTCGCAAACTGAAGCGTATACATCACTAGTTGCGGGTTGTTTATCAATCCCGGAATTGTTTGAGGCTTGTGAACAACGTCGGGGTGGTGTGGTGTACACTTGTTTCCTCGTGTTTTTTGTTCTGGGGGAACAGCGAAAACACCAGGATCCGCTTTCCTGTACGAGTTTCAGTGCGGGGCCGGAAAAAAAGCGTCGCTGTTTAGATTTCGCCTCCTTATCCAAGGATCCGGATTTCGCATTAGCGTCGCGCATCCCCGTTAAACGCTTGCAAAGGATGCGGGTGGGTACTGTTGAATATCGGGCCCCCGCTTGAGACGACCTTGAATTTTGTGGCCTGGAGTTCAACATAGTGCCATAGTTATACGGAGGGAGGGGTGATAGTTTTTTTTGAAACGGGGCTGTCCCTCGAGACTTCCCGGGATCTGGTGACAGCGACTGCGATGTTGTGCAGCGATTCCACGGATGGAGGGCAGACCAATTTCGAAAGGGAGCTCTCGTGGACAAATCACGGAATCGTAGTGCGGGCAATCGTAGTGCGGGCAACCCCAGAAGCCCGAGGAGCATTGGATATGGATAAGTTTGCCCCCTAGATGCTCGATGTTGATCCATCTCCAGTGCGCCTCGGCCTTGTGGCGCCCCTTCCAGGACAGTCCAAGAGGCACTGGATCCTCGCCCCCAAGTCGCGTTTAAGGGGCCCTCAGCTGCTGTGTCTTCATCGGAGATAAAAAAAGAAAGAGAAACAACCAACAACAAAAAAAGTCCAAGAGACACTGGATATGGATGGCATTTCGGAGGGGGGTCTCTTCCAGGCTATCTTGGAGGGCCTGGGGGGGTCTGGGGACGATGTTTTGGAGGGTTCTCCCACGGGGGAGGTCTGACATGGCTTGTCTTGGAGGGTCCAGACCCCCTCCCTTTTGTTACGAAATCTGGAGTATGGATAGGACTCTTGCCCGCGGGCAGCAGGCTGTGTCTCTGCCTGCCCTCCTTGCTCGAGAGACGAGGAGCGCACCCCGTACAATCACGGCTGGCTCGCCTGCACGGCAGGCCCGCGGTGGGGCGCTCGTGTCTGTCAAGGGGGGGCGTCGGGCGCTCCCTGCAGATACTCCAGATTTCGTAATAAAGGGAGGGGGGTCTGGACCCTCCTCCCTCCTCCTCCTCCTCCTCCTCCTCCTCCTCCTCCTCCCTCCCTCCCCCACCCTCCCGATGAGCCACACAGGAAAGCCTCCTCCAGATTTCGTAATAAAGGGAGGGGGGTCTCATTTCGGGGGGGGGTCTCTTCCAGGCTATCCTGGAGGGCCTGGGGGGGTCTGGGGACGATGTTTTGGAGGGTTCTCCCACGGGGGGGGGGTCTAAGACTTCTCGTCTGGGAGGGTTGAGACCCCCTCCCTTCTATTACGAAATCTGGACGACCTCAGGCGGGGACTCGTAATGAGAGGGTGTATGGCAGCATTGCTGATGAATCTTGGGCTTATCTGGTTCTCCTCCTCCTCGTCGGCCTCGGCCCGCAGGCCCCGCCGCGGCTGCGCGTCGTCGGAGGAGGCCGGGCCTGAGGCTCTGGAGTCGGCTCGGGCCGGGGAGCTCTGGAGCCTCCTCTGGGCAATTGCTCTCCTCCGCCTCCACATCAAGCAACTGAAGGCCTAGGGCTAAAGCCGTTGTCTCTCTCTCTCTCTCTCTCTCTCTCTCTCTCTCTCTTTTTAGCACCGGTTCAGCGAATGACGCATTGCGGGGCATTGTGCAAGACGTTATTGATCTCCTCCGCCTCCACATCAAGCAACTGAAGGCCTAGGGCTAAAGCCGTTGTCTCTCTGTTGTAGCACCGGTTCAGCGACTGACGCATTGCGGGGCATTGTGCAAGACGTTGG